AGTAACTGTTAAATAATAGCAAAAGTCTATGATGAAAGGATCTCTAGTGCATTGGAGCAGCCCCACGGGAGATGTTACAGGATATATTTTGACTGTGAGAGTCAGGTACTGTTTCACCACCTCCCTCCTGCTCTCCCTCCACCTTTCTGTCCTTCAATGCACATATTTTACATCTGCAAATCAGCCTGCAAAAAAAAAGCTTAAAAAAAACAATCTAACACCCCAAACACTATTAATATTTGGTCCACATTCAATGTCTTTTGTACCTAAATCCAAGGGATCAAATAATATCGACCAAAGAGAGAGTTTACATTTTTCATCAAATATCTGCCTGTATATTGAAATGTTTAGTGGTAGTAAGCCTTATGTCTACAAAGTACATTATCGTTTTCAGAATGCTTTGATAGTCACTAGCTCCATACATTAAGAGCTATCTAGAGCAACCATTCTCGCGTTTCCCATGGAAAGAAGTAGGCTCAGACAGAATAGGCCCAGGGCAGTTTGTAAACAGCAGAAGAGGACAAGGTTCCAGATATTCCCAAATCTCATCCCGTTTCTGGATATGGGAACATAAGGGAGCAAAATTGTCTAAGTTTAAGTAACTAACAGGAAGAGAGCACCAAATCAAATCACATGAGTGGAAAAAATAAAATGTGCCGGCCGTTTCCATTTTAGAAGCATTGCTTCCTGTGTTTAGTGACACGGGCTAAACTACCATAGTTATAATTCCTCAAATGGGAAATAAGTTATTTGGAACTTACCAGCTCCCTAATGGCATAGACCATTGTTTTGCAAACTCTTTGGCCTCAAGGCTTCTTTATATTTTTAAAAAGTATCTTTACAATTATAAAGGATTCCAGAGAGCTTTTGTTTTTGTGAGTTATGTTTGTCCATTTTTACTATGTCTGAAAATAAAACAGAAACTTAAAAATGCTTTTTATTAATTTATTAAACAATAATAAACCAATTACATGTTAAACTACATATCACATTTTTATTACAATATAATTATTTTCTGAAATAAAACAAAAATTAACATTCTAGCTGTGGTGACATCATACATGTAGCTCTGAGAAACTCCACTGCAAACTCATGAAAGAATGAGAGGAAAAAAGTCAAATAATGTATTTGTATTGTCATGAAAATAGTTTTGACCTTGCAGATGTCTGAAGGGATTATAGGGAACCCGGGTGACACTTTGAGAACCAATGGTATAAACGATAGCAAAGCCAGAATCTTAAGAACATGTGTTTTTAAGAATATGATAATTTCTGAAGCCTATACTTTTAAGTGCATAATAATCTCTGAGATGAATATTTTTTTTCCAACAGAATCAATTGGGTATTTTAGTTCTCGTCTTTCCCTGGAGACTTTTGACTTTAGAGACAATCCAGAGCCAGGACATTCTGAATTTCAAACAAAGGACACGGACTCCAGCCTGTCTGGTGTCAGCAAGAATGCCCAGTGATATTACCCTAGGGACCACACCACGTTATGCACATACACCAAACGATGTGAAGAGAACAGTACGTGAAAGTAGTTTTAGCTTTCTGATTAATGTACATTTAACTCTGCATAGTCTCTCTTTGTATTGTCAAATGCAAGAAATGAAATTCAACTAGGATGCTGACAGATGGGGAGACTAGAGACTCTATGCTCTTGGGCTTTGAGGTGCCACAAAGAGAGTGGCAGACATCCCTATTATGACCACTCAGGGGCAAGAAGGATCCTCTTTGACTTGAATACAAATGCCCTGAAGCTATTCCAGCTTCTCAGAACAGAGTTATCTCTGATGTGAGATAGGAAAAAAATCTGAGTTCTGGCTCCATATTACTCATCCAGTGAGGAAGGTATTAATGTTTTGTCACTTGTCATCAGTTGGGAAATACTCAAATGTAATATTGCTTAACAAAGCAATTTAGAATGTAATGCCCTATTTTAACATATGCCATCAACTAAGCAAATGACAAAGAAGTCACAATCCCTCAATTCAGCACTCTTCTTTGTGAAATAATGTGCCTTCCCTTCCTTCCTCCCTTCTTTATTCCTATCTTTGTTCCTTTCTCCAATATCTATAATGTACTTATTATGAATGAAGTACTTTGATTGATTCAACTTCATATTTATCTGGCTGCCAGATCTGTTTATTTTAATTATTAAACATTTCTGACCGGTCCCAGTGGCTCATGCCTTTAATCCTAGCACTCTGGGAGGCCAAGGTGGGAGGATTGCTTGAGGTCAGGAGTTTGATACCAGCCTGAGCAAGAGCAAGACCCGGTCTCTCCTAAAAATAGAAAAATTGGCCAGGTGCAGTGGCATGCAACTGTAAGCCCCAGCTACTATGAGGCTGAGGCAGGAGGATCACTTGAGCCCAGGGGTTTGAGGTTGCTGTGAGCTAGGATGACGCCACAGCACTCTAGCTCGGCAACAGATTGAGACTCTGTCTCGAAAAAAAAAAAAAAATTCTTCTTCCTAAATAAAAGAATGCCCTTTATAGAAAAATTAAAATTATAGTAAAGCATAAAGAAGATTAATTATAATTGCCCTAGATAACTAATATGTAGGAGGTAATTTTAATAAATTCTCCTAGAGTTTTTCCTGTATTTTTACCAACTTGAGATTATATGTATACATAATTTTGCATTCTTGTTTGCTTAACATTGTATCATAAGCAGTTTCAATGTCATTAAAAACCCATCATAAACATGATTTTAATGCCTAAAGTTAGTGATAAATATCTCAGTGGAGAAATCTTATTACACGTATCAGATATCCTTAGGATAAACTGCTTCTTAGAAGTGGAATTACCAGGGGTAGAAGGAAGTAGATTTTATAACTGACAAATTCCTTTCCCGGCAGTGTACCAAAATGACATCACCAGATAAGAGGGCTGATTTCATTGCACCCTCAGCAATAATGAAGAAATGTTTATTTATAAGCAATCTTTGCTAATATGATTGGTAAGGTTGAAAAACTCTACCTTTTAAAAAATCTGCATTTCTAGTACCATTGAGATTGAATCTTTAAAAATACAAGTAAAACTATAGAATGCTTAAAAAGTCTCTCAGATAAAAGTTATATAAATACCTGGGTGCTCACTCTTCATTAACTCAATTAATAAAAGGGAGACATAGCTCCAATCACCCCAAAAGTTGCTATATCAGAGTTCTTGGTGGCAAACACTGAAATCATTTCTGGCTAACTTAGTAAGAGGAGAAATATATCGGAAGGTCATCAGATGTCATGCCAAAGAGGAGGGTTGGAGAACCGGGCTCCTCACACAGGCAGGGAAGCTTGGCAGCTGGAATTAGAACAGGTCACACTACTCAAACAGCCCACTTATGACACCACTGGCACTGCCACAGTAGATACTACCACCTGTCACCTCTGGCACTACTGTCCTTGGACACAAAAGCCACTTTGCAGATAATGGAGTTGTTTCTAAAATGTCTCTTCTTTGAACAACAGAATCCAGATTCAAAGAACTGGACAGGAACCACTGAGGCTGAACTTAGGTCCCATGATGGTGCCCTAGCTGCCACAGGGTGGGGACAGTGAGTATTGGGCCATTTTGGCTTTTATGGGAACTTGGATGCTAGGTAGAAAGACCTAGCCTTAATGATCAATGACCACTATAAATATGTACGTGGAATTTTTTGTTTTATAATACTTTTCAGGAATCTGGTTAAACTTCTTATCACTGAATTTTAGATTGTCCAGTAGGTCATGACATCATCTGGTCCAGAACTGCAAACTTAAATATCTATCATATCTTCAAATGTCAGTGAGGTATGGGTGTATGGAGTGGTGAGATTGGTGGAAAACTGAGTGGTGAGGTTGGTGGAAAATCTTCCCAGTCCAAAGGCAGACACCTGCTACTTAGCACCAGCTGGCGGTTGCTAGAACCCACTGATCTTACAATTTTTTAGAACATGCCAAATGTCTGAATTTTTGTGAAATTTACTGATTTTAAGATTTGGAACCAAATTCAAAATTAGAAATAGAACAACACCGTTGCTTCTTAAAAATTAAGGCTACAGGTTACTTCTAACAATCAAACCTTCTCATTTTAAAAATCAATGTAGGAAGATGAGGTCTAAGAAGGTGAAATGCCTAAGACCAAATAACTCAGTTGGTGACAGAGCCAGGGCTAGAAGTTTGGTCTCCAGATGAAAAGCTAACTAAGAAAGCCAATGTTCCACCACCCGGCTCTGTAGACACTTCTTTCACTTGGAGGTACCCTCCCAAGTAAGCTCAAGAAAATCACATGTGTTTCATCCAGCAGCAGCAGTGTTCATAGAATGTTTATAAATTAATAGAATCTGTCCAGCCAAGAGAAACAGCTTTCGGTGTCAGATTATAGTTTAAATGTTAGCTTCTACCACTTTCTAGGTGGGTAACCTGGCATCAATTACTTCTCTCTGTCTCACACGGAAAAAAATAAGAGTACCTTTTATATATAAGGCTGTAGCACATGGAGTAAGATTACTTGTACCGAGTGCCTGGCACCGTGCCAACACTGTGGTAAAAACATTGCACGTGATAATAATATAACATCATTCTAAGAGAGATCATAATAGTTTGTATTTCCCAAGTACACAAAGGTGAAGGGAGGGAGAGCTAAGGTGTTTCATGATACGTAGGTGTATCCAGTTACGGATAAATCTCAAAATAGAATTCCTAACATAAGGTATAAGTGGGATTTTCACTCAAATCCTGTCCTTCGCCAGACTCCAGTGGCAGTTTCACGGACGCGTCAAGGCTTGTGTACTCTGCAGTCTCCAAAAGCACCACTCCTGTCTGTCTCTGTGAAACTGATAGTGGAGCAAAGGGGAGTCCAGGGGGTCCCGGGCTGGGGGTGTAGGAGGTGACGTGCAGGGTTTCATAAGGGAAAGTCGCGCCCGACTGGTTCACTCTTGCTCTGGGCCATCCTTGGGGACCTGCTTCCACCTGTGAGCTGTTTCCGCAGAATGCGGGAGGCCGCCACGGCGGAGGAGGGGGCGGAGGCAGAGGCGGAGGCGGCACCTAGGGGCTGGGGCAAGGGAGGCCGGGACCATCGCAGTGACAATTTATTTTCCTGCAGCGGCGGCAAGCAGGGACGACTGCTGCAGGCTCGGGGCCGGCCGGCCTGCGCGTGGGTTTGCTAGGGTGCTGTTCGCCCCCTGCGCTGGGGTGTCCGACAGCGAGGAGTAGGAAGACGACGAGGAGAGCAACGCACGGAGCCCGAGCGAGCAGAGCCACCAAAGCTCCACCGGTCCGCAGAGGAGGAGGGGGAGGCGGCACGGCCGAGGCCAGCGAGCGGGCGCCTCCTCGCTGGCTGCCGGTATCACCCCGCTGCAGTGCCTTCCAGCAAAAGCCACCGGGTCCCGGCTGCAGCGGCCAGACGGATGCCAAGGCCACACGGCAGGCGCGGGGGCAGCCGCCGCAGTCGCCGTCCCACGCGGGCTCCAGACATCAAGGGCTGCTGGTGAGTAGCCGCGCGCGCTGCGAGTGTGAACGCGCCTCGCAATGGGAAGTGCGCACGCCGGCTGCGTGTGCCCCGCGGCCTGGCGCGCGCTGGCCCTCCTTCCGCTGGCGACGTCCGGTCCCGGGCTTGCTCCAGGGGAAGAAAATGCGCTTCGGCGGCTGCTCGCTTCCTTCCTGCCAGTCCTGCGATCGGCCGCCTCCTCCTGTGCTGCCTCTGTGGGCCCCTCACCGGCCCCCCAGGGGTTAGTGTCACCTTGATAGGGAAGGCAGGAAGCTGTGGCTCCTGGTGGCGGGGCGGGACTAGGGTCGCGACCTAGACGTGGGCGCGCGTGGGTTTCTGGTTCAGACTTGGGATGCAGCCCTGGGGAGGATGTCGACATTCAGAGAGCCCACCCCACTGTCTTTGGCAGTGCATGGTGTGAAGGAGGAATGGACAAGGGTTAGAAAAACAGACCTTTACTCCTGTGGAGCGTGTGGCACACCTTATGAGGTGATGTTACTTTTACCATTTATCAGAGACTTTTAAGACATTTTCCCTCACCTGAATAATCTAAGCCTTCCCTGAAAACCCCCAATGTGATGCACAAAGAAATGGTATGTCACTACTAAAACATAATTTTCCAGAACTTTCTCTAAAACACCCCACACCGTGTATAGCCCAGAGCCTATGGGTCTATAATTATTGAAGTTTAAAAGAAAAATTTTATAAGGAATAAATAATTCAGGAAAGGAAACCTGACCTAGAAGACTGAAAGAAATCTTAAATGTTGAGGGGTGGGGCTGGGTGGCTTGCTTTCTGGAAGTCAGAGTTTGGTGGTAAGTAAAGCAGACATCTTTCAAAGTAAGCCCCAGCGAGCACACTGCTTTCCAACGTCTGCTAATCGCTGAGACTAACATGAAGTCCTAGGTTTTAAGGACGTTTCCAAAAATATAGTGGATATCACTGGGATGTTGATCTGTGGTCTCGTTCAAGGCCCTGTCAAGGTTAATAATGCACATTTGTTCCAGCAGATAAAGTACACCTGAATGTTTGATTTTCTGTTTCAGTTTTTTGAGGGTAATTGTTGAGGGTTGTTTTACACAGAGATTAAGCCACGGTGTTTTATCTTTTTCCAGACCTTGTTTCAATTGGTAATTTTATGTTTTCAGGATGGATGCTATATTGAACTTCAAGAATGTATTCTGACTGGGTTGTAGTGGGCATTTTGTAGCTACACTATAAATATTTACATTTATTTTTAACACAAGTTAATGTCCTTGAGCAGTAGGCTCTTTTTGTTTACCATTTACACCTTTAAGAGCTTCATTGAAAGGCATGAAATGTTACTGGAATCTACCTGGAGAATAAACTGGCTGCTTGTTTTCTGTTCAAGGGTAAATACAGCAAAATTGTTTGCCACTTGGCAATGTGCTTTTGAATACACTTGGGCTATAATTTATGTATCAGCTCGTTCTTGGAAATTTGAAGAAGAAACTTGTTTCTTTAATCCTATTTTGTAAAGTGATCACCATTCAAATTATGGGGCAGGTGGCCTTTACCCATATGTCAGTCATCTAGGCCAGTTTCTAACCTACTTTTGCCATGTTTCGTAGGATTCTTATTGCCTGTGGGAGCGTTGGAGGGAGTAGCGAAGATACTAGTGTCCTGAGGGTGTCTTTAGCAGAGAGATTTGCTCCTGGAGGAAAGGGTATCTCTGGGTTGGTTCCTGAGAAAGACTGACAAAAATAGTTATAAAGGATTGTTAATAATTGTTACTTTTTCTTACTTTCAGCACATAGGACTTAATTAGCTCAATTCGATCATGTTGCTCCTTTAAGGACCCTTCCCAGGCCTACTTATAGCTACAATCCAGGGAGTGAGATTGAATTTTACAGAGAAGAAAAGCCTGATAATTCTCGTGCAAAAACATAAGCGATAGAAGAGATGTGAGAGGAAATAATGTAGATGCTGCCCAGAAAGTACCAGGCACTTTCCTGGTGGATACATCTACCAATTAGAGACATTTTAATTAATCTACTGAATTTGCGATTCTGTCTAATGCTAACATTTTTTCTTGACCCTGTGAAAAATTTGTAGGTGGCTTCAACTGAAACTAGGAGAAATGACTCATGGTTGTCCCTGAAGATATTAGAGCCAGCTTTCCATCGCATCCCTTAGGGCTGATGGCTTACAGCTGTTCCATAAATGTTTGTTAAATAAGTAGCAAATCTAAAATGTCTTTCTCTTCCCAACCTAGCTACATCACCTCTTCTGGCATTGTTTTTTTTTTTTATATAAATCACGAAACATTTTATCAAATTGAATTGCAGTTCATACATTCAACTAAGAAGACCAGCTTGCTCAGTTGAAGGAAGAATAACAATCCCTCTAAAACAAAACAATAACAAACAAAAACCACTGTATTGGTACCTGTTCACTTGCATATTCCAGCTATCTGGACATGTGAACTGTTCAGTTGGATGTGTGAGTGTACATTCAGAAATCCTGAGTTGACATCAGAACATTCAACTCAGGAATAATCTGGATGTAGCTACATCTGGATGTGGCTTTTGTCGGAAATTATTTGCATTCCTAAGCAAATCAGATGAACTTCTAGTACAATCTTGCATCTCCTCATGCCAAGTGGAGAGGCTGATTAAACATTTGGCATGTTGCTAAATCTTCAAAGCCCATGTTGCTTGTTCTCTTTCTAAATTTTAAATTAATTCCATGTTATTTTTATCCATTGATGTGGTTAGTTTAGAGACATTAGTTCAGCCTTAGTAACTTTTGTTTATTAAAAGGAGTCCCTTGATAGAAGCACCAGTAATTCTTATGTTTTGATTTGCTCTAGTTAAACTTTCAAGGCACTCTTTTGGAAATGGGTACCTTGTTTGGTCTTGAATATTAAGAATGTTAATGACATTTTTTGTTTTAGTTCCAGCTTTCAATCTCTAATCATTAGAGGGTCTCCCTGTGATTTAGGTTCTAACTTCAGTGTGAAAGATTAGGAAACTATCTAAAATTTACCTGGATGTTAACATTGTGGTTTATTATAGTAATGCAGCTTTTCTCTTTGATATCCTTTCATGTCTTTCTCAGATGAAGTTATTTCATTTTGAATAAAAATAAAATGAGATCCTGAAATATTTCATTTTTTTATTGGGCCATGTGCAAAAATAAATACATAAAATAAAAAATTGCATATCACCATTCTGAAGTCACCCAAACACTGCTCTGCATAATGAAAAGTGGCCATTCCTATCAAGTATTTATTTGATATGTCGCCACTTGAGCACTTGAATGAAAGGTAGAGACATGTTCCCTTCGTGTCTTCTTAGGCCCTTGAAAGCCGGGGAGTGGAATTTCGATTTGACGTGGTAGCCAAATGTAGGATCCTTGAAAGGGAGCAAGTGCTCAGAAGAGCACTTTGGCAATTAGGTGGGGGGAGGATTACTAGGAAGGAGTAGGGGCAATAATCTGGTGTGAGATGATGACAGCCTGACATCAGATCCCAAGGACTGTGAGATACAGAAGGGAAACTCCAGGCACTCAGACCTTAGCATTCTTTTTTTATATGGAAGAGGGATTGCAAACCTGTGGCACAGATGTGGTCATTAATAAATCCCACACCCACATAGGCATCACCAGTTGATCACAGCGCTCTTTCCTGCTGAGCCCTGGTGTAACTTCAGAATCTGGCAAGTATAATGTTAGTTATTGAGCACGTGCTCTATGCCAGGCATTGTACTGAGCTTTGACACACATTTTCTCAAGGATGATGGAGTGGTTCAAAAGATAACATTTTTTTGCCACTTACTAATTGTGTGTCTTCGGCAAGTTACTGACTTCTCTGAGCCTCAGTTTCCTCATCTTTTATTTGGGATATTAGTTTCTATCTCATAAGGTTTTGGGGAGGATTCAGTGAATAAATAAGTGTAAGTGAAAAGTGCTTAGAACAATGTCTAGCACAAAGTTAAGGCTTTATGTGTTTGTTATTATTACTTTTTAGAACAAAGTTATGCAACAGGTACCATTTTGCAGATTTAAAAATCGAGGTACAAAGAGACTATGTAAATTGCCCATTATGGGAGGCTGGTAAGTGATTGAGCTGGGAGTTAAACCCAGACCCCTGGCCCCTGTACTGCATGCCAGATGCTGGGGATACTGATCGGAGCAAGAAAAGTAGGGGCTTGTCCTCATGGAGCTTCAGGGCTTAGAATCAGTACCCAGATTATTACAAAAAGTTTTTGCTATTTTGCCTTGACGTTTGGTATTTTGTAAATAATGTTTTTCGTTAATTAAGTAAGTTCTTTATTAAGAAGTATCCAATTTGTGTGTATGTTTTTTGTGTGTTTGGGGTTTTGTGGTTTTTTGCCTAACAGTTGGCATATACAACACATACATTTCTCCTTACATTGACTGATTCTTTGCTGGAGGTAGGGAGGGTATGCCTCCCTAATATAATGTATCAGATTCTGGAGTTTTAGGATTCTGAAAAACTTCTATGCCATCCATCCTTCTCTACATTCCCAGAATCTCAGATTTCTCCCATTCGTAAGCCATGGTGGAGTGATGATAACATTTTTGATCATTTTTAAATTCAGCTTATTCAGAATATTTTATAGAGTAACGGCAGAGTGAATTTTAACTGTTCTTTGACTTGTTGAAGTGATTGTGTCTAATTATAAGAGGCCAGATTTTAACTATAGGAGGGAAGACCGCTGTGGCAGTGAAGAATGTAAAATTCTCAATTCCTCCAGAGCTTTAGGATCTACCCTTACTGATTCCAAAATTTTGACTTTATTAATTGATCCTTATAATTCTTTGTTCTCATAACTTTCAGAAATCTATAACTGGCACTGTTTTTTTTCTAAGTAGGTGAAAGTTTTTCTTGGTCTTGTATAAAGTTCATTGGTAAAATATTAATTATTTCGTGGAGGAAAATTGTTAAATCTCATGTTTAAAAATATACTCTTTCATCCTTTGAATTACCCTTTTGTGTAAATTACACATTTCCTTATTTCAAGTTCAATTATTTTTAAAGAAACTTATATTTAATAAAATTGCATGAGTTTTAACTTGATTAAGGATGACAGAATTTGAGATTTGGTGAGTTTGGCATTGTGTTTTATTTTTGAAACTTTTGCTAGACTTATGTTTCAAGGCATTGCAGTAACTGAACCAAAGATTCAGCAAAAGCTCATACAAGAGATAACCGCTAAGAGATCCATCACAAATTATTCATTTTGATTATGTGACTTGATGATTCTCTGGGTTAATTTAGAGACTGAAGGCTGGTGATGACTCATTTTTAATCCTCCTGGCTTCCTGTGAACTCCGCCTGCCTGTTTTGCATTCGTCTCTGCTCTGAGAGATGTTCCAGCGTGGGTTCCTTTTGAGGTTGCTACATTTCAGAGTTGAATGGCTGGGGCGATAGGCACCTGTGCACCTTTAATTAAAAGCATAAGGAAAATATAATCAGGAGTGGTGATTATGGCTAGGTTCAGCTCATCTAAGGACCCTGCGATTTTATTTATCATGTCACTAGAACCATACCTTTCAAAACTAGAGATGTGCATTTTAATAACTGAGAAGAACTATAGAGAGACCTTTATGTCTGTGAGTTCATCCTTCAGTCTTCTGGTGGATTGACTCCAGCTCTTTTTCCAATTTGTTTTGTCCTTGAAAGGTTGATTTATAAATTGTTCTGTAAGTTTTTTTTTTAACAATAGGAACAAATGGACAGGGTGAATGGGATGAGATCAGAAAAGAGAGGCCTAGAGTAAGCCCTTCATATGTTACTGTTCCTGTTCAAAGGAAGCAGAAAACTGCTTACAGAATCTATATAGTACTTAAGCTAAATATATAAATAAATAAAATTAAAGTCACTTGGAATCATTGGTGAGTGTGGAACTTTGTTTTCCCAATTAATAAAAAATTCTAGAAATTAAAATGTGGATCTTGAAAGAAGTATAACTATCATATTCTTATGGTATATATAGTTATTTTTCTTTTGTCAAGTTTATTATTATTGAAAGACTTGGAAAAGTAACTTGGGCAGTGATTCTCAAACTAGTCTCAAAAAAAGAAAATGTCTTCATCCATGCCCAGAGATTATTATATGAAACATTTGGGTGGAGCCCGGCAGCCTTCCTTTTGAGGATCTTCTCAGGAGATTCTGATGCAGGTGGTTAGTAAAGCACCCTTTGAGTGCTTTATCTACTTAAGAGCTAAATCTACTTAAGAGCTAAATCTAATTTTATATACAAATTCTGGCTTCTATTTTTATGTTTTGAGCATTTATTCCGATTTTCATAGACTTTTTCATGTAATAACGTATGCATCAATGCTACCTTCGTGTTCTTAGAAAGGCCCAATATACTGCCTTTCATGTTCTTAATAATACCTGTGTTTTCATGGATGGAATCAGAAAACACAGAGCTGGTGGGAATTTTTAGAGATAATGTCATACATCCTTCCGAAGGGAAGATGTTTGGCTAGGGCAGAGATGGGTTTCGTGAAAGGGAAGTGAGGAAGACATTAGGGAGCAGCGCAAAACGCAGAGGAGGGGAAATAGGTCACATCTCGAGGACACTGAAGGGCCGGCAAGGGGGGTAAGACCTGTTCTGGCAGGCACTAGGTGACCACTGTGCGCTTTTGAGCAGGGGACCAGCCAGATGCAAACAAATGAACACTTGAGCTAGGAACACAAAGTACCTGGTCCAGAAACAGAGGATCAAGGAACAGGTGGGCAAAGGAGACTGCTTTTTCAACGATAAGGCAGAAGGAAGCACAGGTGAGGACTTGGGGACCCTGAATTCAGCAGGGTCAACTTTGAAGGGTTTATGCAGTAGGGTTCTCCAACTCTATGTCCCTGAAGGTCTGTAGCTGAGAAATTGGTCTTATGATGCAATTGCATGTTATGGTGTGTAACATGAAGGCTACCCAGCTCAGCCGTCAGGCCAGACCAGCCCCTCTGGATTTAGAAAGTTCTTGAATAATTACTACAACTACTACTACCTTAAGATTGTGAGGCAAGGAGGGCACAGGAGGCAAGGATGCTGTTCATCTACGGCCACTACAAACAAGCGACTGTGGGCAATGTAAATACAGGATGGCCTGGGATGTTGGACTTCAAAGGCAAGGCCAAGTGGGATGCCTGGAATGAGCTGAAAGGGACTACCAAGGAAGATGCCATGAAAGCTTACATCAACAAAGTAGAAGAGCTAAAGAAAAAATATGGAATATAAGAGACTGGATTTGGCTGCCAACCATGCATTTAACCTAACCTGATTCGATGCCTTGTTTTTTCTAGTACTGTGGATGATGTGAAATAGTGAAAACAGCCAGGTAACCCAGTTCCTCAAGGCTGTTCAGGATACGGCTCTAACAGTAGGGCTAAAGTGATTACTGACCTTTCCCAAGTAATTTTTATCTGAGATCAATTAAAAGTGTATTCGTTACTTTAAAAAAAAAAAAAGTTCTCATTTTGGACTGGAGAAACAGACTTAGAGAATAAAGTAATTTATCAGAATTCACACATGTAGAAATTGTCAGGGTTAGGGTGCAAATCTGGGGCCTATTCAAAACTTCTAGGCTTAAAAAAAGTATAACTTGTCTGATTATAAAGTGATACATACTTCTGACAGATTATACCAAAGTGAAAGACCTTCATGATCCCACCCTTGAGAGAACAACTGAGAAAAATCCAGTGACTGTTGTTCCATATTTTTTCTTGTGAATGCCAGTATACATTAAATACACATGTATTCATAGTACAAGGATGGAGTCATACTTTATTTGTTATTCCACAACTCACTCTTTTCACTTAATCCTCCAACTCGGACAACGTCCTGGTTCGTTGTATATAGATGTAAGTCCTTTCTAATGGCTTCATCCACGATAGAGATTCTTTATTTCAAATAATCTCCTTTTGATGGCTATTTGTTTTTATTTCTAGAATTTTAATATTTTTAAACAATGCTGCAGTGTGTGTCTATGTGTGTGTGAGAGAGTATGTGTTATATGGGCTGAGCAAACTATGGGGAGGTCTTAGAGATGGAATTGCTTAGTCAACAGGGATGCATATTATAAAGGAATAGCCAATTTTTTTTCAGTCCTCATCAGTATTGAGTATGATCAATCATGTAAATTTTATCAATCCAGTAAGTAAAAATATCTTGTTTACATTCACAGTTTCTAAATTACTGGTGACTTTAAACATTTTTTAATGTTATTTAGCTGTTTATATTTCTCTTATGACTTGCTAATGTCATTTGCCCATTTTTTTTTTCTCAGAAAGAAACATTTACTAGGGACTTACTGACAGAAGCCATGTCTCCTGTAGTGGTGGTGAGAGGAAGAAATGGGTAGGACAGCTGAAGCCCATCCCCTCAGGGAGAAGCAAGAATGTTGTGTGAATCTGCCTACAGTCAGGATTTATGGGCAGGGTTGTTCTGATCTAAAGGCAGGATTTATAGTAAAGTCTGTATCCTAGAGGCATTCCCAGAACAGGGGTTAGTCAGAAGGCAGCATGGCGGGTAGCATCCAAGATGGAGTTTGCTTTAGCCTCCACAGTCCACCCCACAATCCAGCTCTTACAATCTCACACACTGTCCTCCTCCACAATGCTCCCTGAGCCTTTGGGGGAGGGTACTTGATATTGTGTAACTTTAGTAGCAGTGCCTTGGCAATGGAAGACAGATCAGGCCTAGTGGGTTTCCAAATGAGGGAGATTTTCAGGCTTTGAATCATCGCTAGTTTTCGGAATACTGTGATTTTGATTTTCTCAGAAGAAGTAAGACAAGAGATACATAACGTTAATAATTTGATATAATGTACATGAGGATTACAACCAAAAGAATTTATGTGCTAGAACAACAATAAAAAAGAACCTATTCCAGTAGGGAGCCAACTAAAACCACCATGAAGAAAATTAAAATCCAGTTCTTCTTTAGGGACTTGTTATAACCAGGAAATAATTCAGAATTTAGTTCAAATTGTAGAAAAACTCAAAAACAATGGTTAGGGCTAGAATCTAATAACAAGCATACCATAGTTTTTTTTTTCCTGAAACACTTTTTTTTTCTCTCCAATTTCCCCATTTCTACCAAGGATAAATCATAGTAGGGCCCATTTATTTGCAAAATAAATTTTAGTGTGATTTTACTTTGCATAATTATTTGCATAAAGTACAGCAGCAGTTATTGGCCATACAGACTCTTTGTAAGTTGGTTTTGCTGCAACTTTCATAAGAAATTTCAGGTTAGACTTTTTAAAAGCCTACAGCCAAGCCAAGGATTCACCATTAGACTATGCTTATAGTACTCATACGAATTGGGTGAATTCCCCTCTTCTCCACGTCCCAAAATATCTTGAGGTTCCTAAAGTCATCAGAAAGTAACATTCTCTACTTACCACAGCTCAGAAACTTTATAAGAGACAGGGTACCAGGCCAGTCTTTCCAAGGGGCTTTTTTATTTACTTTATAAAATCAACCTTAATTCTTCAAAGCAGTCTGGTCATATCTGAAAATATGCCATTCTAGTCAAAGCCTTGGTAAAATAACCAGTGTCTCTAATTGTTTCCTGTTACAAAAGGAAACATTCTTATTGAATTTATGCAAATAACTATATTGCCATAAAATAAGAATACTCACAACTTGTTTCCAAATTTTAGAGCAGTCAGGCAGAGAGAAAGATAAATTTTGCTCACAAAAGGTTACTTTACTCAATTTCTCTAAGTTATAAATGGCTCAAAAGGAAAAGCTTTTCCTGCCTCTCCTTCACATCACCCGAGACAGCATGAGTATTTCATGTGTGAGTTTCAGGTGTCAATATTATTTTATGTCTTTCAGTCATAGGGGTAGCTTCAGCTAATGTCCCATAGCAAGGGACATTAGTCTCATTTCACTTGGCCTGATTATTTGCATAAAGTACAGCAATAGTTATGGGCCATATAGACTCTTTTTAAGTTGGTTTTGCTGGAACTTTCATAAGAAATTTCAGGTTAGACTTTTTAAAAGCCAGAAAGCCAAGCCAAGGATTCACCATCAGACTAGGCTTGTAGTACTTGTACAAATTGGGTGAATTCCCCAATTTGTAAATGCCCCTCAAATTCTCTACTCCAAAATCTCAGTAGTAATCACTGGGAGGTGATCATAATCATTTGCCCATTTTTATTCAAGTCTTCATCTCTTTCTCACTATTCTGGAAATGTTTCCTATAGTTTAGAGGTAGTAGATATTATAGCTGTCGGTGATGCAAACATTTTTTTCCTTTGTTGTTCTTTTACTTGCTGAAAAGATTTTTAAAGGTACTATTTGAGCATTTAAAAGAACATTTTGTTTTAAAATAAGTTCAGGCTTCCAAAAGATTGTCCTTTTCCCAGATTCCCCAAACATTAACACCTTACATAACCACAGTAGTTATCAAAATCAGTAAATTAACATTGATACAGTACTATTGTCTAATCTACAGATCTTATTCACATTTCACCAAAGTCCTTCTTCTGGGTGAGGATCCAGTCCAGGATCACATGTTGCATTTAGTTGTTCTGTCTCCTTAGTCTCTTTTAATCTGGAATGGTTCCTCAGTCTTTCTGACTTCAGTTATCTTGACACTTTTAAGAGTACCTGACTTTAGTTATCTTGACACTTTTAAGAGTACCAGCTGGTTGTTTGGTAGAAAATCCCTTGATTTAGGTTCATCTGATGTTTGTTTCTTCATGAGTATATGTAATCAAGGGAGTGACCTGGTCTGGTGGTGGTCAAAAATATCTTGCCTAAAGAGGAGATGCTTAAGCTAACACTAGAAAGATAGATAGAAAGAAGAAGTGTGAACTGAGGGTGGAGCGCCTTTGCAATTGGCTTTGCATAGTGCATCTCAGCAATTAGAAGCAGCCAGTGCACTATGACTTTCCATAGCACCTCTAAGCCATTAGAAGAAGCCAGTGGAGGAGAGGGTGTAAGAAGGCTGATGAGGAGGCAGCTGGGTCAGACTAAGCTTTGTGGTGCTTATTAAGGATATATGATATTAATAGCAGTGGAAAGCCATTCAAGGGTTTTATGCAAAGGTATGACAGTATCTGAATCAGATTTTTAAAAGGTTACTACACTGTTGTATAGAATTAATTAAAAAGAAGCAAGATAGAAACCAATCTAACAATTAGAAGGCTATTCTAGCACTGCAGACAGAAAAAAGGTGGCATAAATTAGGGTGCCTCCTGGAAAGATGGTGAGAAGATGCAGATTGGAGAGATGTCTTGGAGGGTGAATCTGAATCTGCACACATAGGTGGTAAGTTGGATGTGGGGTTGGGGAAGCGGGCAGATGCAGGTTGGCTGTTTCCAGGGTTTGCCAGGTTTTTTGTAGTTGATTGGATGTTGGTACCATTCATTGAGATGCAAGAGATGATCCTTCACCTTCTGACAACGAAGTCAGAAGTATCACCATCTCCATTCCTCTTAGATGCCAACATTTACAATGTCTTTGCTTATTGATGCTCCTGTATCTCATTATACCCACTTCTGAGTTCTGTGATTTTTTCCTCAGAATCTTCCCCAATAACTCTTTATCCTTCTTCGTTCCTTTTATTGCTCTTTAGTTCGGACCTGGGCAACCTCATTCCACACTTGAAAATTTGCTTCCTCTCTGGGCTGCCGGCTCCTGCTCTCTCTGTGACTTTATCCATCACTGCCATACTATTTGAATTTCAAAAATATGTACTTAAGTGCCAGTTTGGGTCGATCACCTTGTTGAGCAGAGTTGAAAATTAAATAAGAAGTTAAATATATTTTCGGGGACTCAGGTCAATTTCCAATAATAATTGAGGTACACGGAATGAAGGCCATTTTGCCTACTGATCAGAAAAGACTGGGTCCTTGTCTCCTTACATAAAAATAAATTCCACATGGATCAAACATATCAATCCCAACATACCTAACCATAAAAATACCAGAAGAAAAGATTGGTGGATATATTTAAAAAATTTTTATGATCAGTTGAGTTCGAAGACCTTTTAAAGAATGTTGAGAGACTCAGGTACCATAAAAAAGATGGATCCACTTAATGGGCTAAATTTTAAATTTTTTATATAAAAATAAAACAACTTTCAACCAAGAATTTTACCTAAACTAATAAATGTAGAAGGAATGGAAATAGAAAAATCACCATTTTCAAACACATTAGTAATTGTTTCAGTCAAAAATATCTTTTGTTGTTAAGATTAGTGGGCAACAGTTTTGCATAGTTTCAAAATAACTTCCTCCAAGATCCTTTTTAATTACAAAGGGGAAATAGTATCTTTACAGGGGGGAATCCTGACAGACATAGCTAAAACAAATGATCAAAGTTAATTTCGCCAATAATCAAATTGATGGCCTGTG